CTGGCCCTTCTTGTAGATGGGTGTCATGTTTATTACAGTAACAAATGCGCTACAAAAAATAAGTGCCCTGTAGTAACTAGTTATAATCCTTATGGAAAACACCAGGAACACAGAAACTGGCATTCAGTCTCAATCTCACTTATACTTTTGGGAAACAAGACTCATCCATTATGTTGTCTCTTGCTTTCTGCTTCTGCTCTTCTCTAGAATTAGAACTGCCAAATACACCTTTATTGAAAGAATGTATTCAAATTCAGTTAAAGAAGTTAATGTATTTTAAACATTTTTTTTAAACTTATGCTTAATATTATTGTTCTTGATTTCATTCTCAACACAGAGACATGTTCTTTAAACTGGTCTGTTTTCATGGTACATAATTATGATGAATATTTCCCTATAATTTAGGAGGTTTTTAAGCTTGATTGTCTGCAATTAGCATAGCATAGTTTGTGGAAGGCAGCACACACATCATTCACAAAGTGAGATGACACAGCAGAAGCAGAGAACACGCCAGCTCTAACAAAATAGAGCCAAACTGTCCTTTCTGCTCCCTTTTAGTTTTCTCCTTTACATAAAAATTGATTCTGCAAATAGCAACGTCTATACAAAAAATATAACAATATTTACCAGTTGTGTTAGACCTTAGTTTCTTTTCTAATATATATTGAGTAAAATATTTCCTAGGAGTTTCTACACTGAACTGATTATTACGCAGTAGCTTTTCTGTACGCAATTCTGTAAGCACTTGCTTTTAATGATTGAGTTTCATAACTAATAAATGTGACGCCAATACATACCTGCAATTTCTTCTATAGAGTTGGCTCTCATGTCCAAAAGAACCGTGCCATTCAGGATACAGCTTCTCAGCTCAAACAAGCTATGAAGTGACAGTGTGGCAACATACGGTTTGCTCCACCTCTCTCCACCATCCTCTACATCTTCTTCAAACTTCAACCACCTGTAAAAACAACCAAGTTTATAACTCCACAGCACATAAGAATGAAAAATAAATTACTTCCACGGATACTGAAAGATCACTGTTAAACATGTCTTTGGATTTCACTTTATTCTTTCTCTGTAAGAAATATGAGAAACTTCCCTGGCCTGCTTCTTACTATATAATGCTGTATTATACCATTTGTGAAGATAAATTCTGACCACAGAGATGAAGAAAAGCATATTAAGTAATCATTATTGTACTTTACAAAAACCGTGCGTAATTCTTTGGCATATGATGATATTTCAATGGCAAAACAACAAGTAGTAGGAGAAGGTTAGAGGAGAAGAACTTGCGGTAGTAAAAAAAGAAAAGCTAAAGAAAAAGTAATAAGAACATAGGAGAGAACTTTCTCCATTTAGTCATCAGTTTGGACTGAACACACCAGAAAAGAGACATTTTTCATTTAAAGTAAATTTACTGACATATTCACACTTCGCAGGATCTGCGTCCATTACCACCACCTTAATATTTTCACAAAAGACACTGTTACAAACTTTGTTATTTTAAGCTCTTAGTTACCTAACTGCACTAAGCTACCCATAAAGGCAGTAAAACATTATGCAAAATCTAGGCTATTTTTCATCTAAAAGCTCAGTCAAATAAAACGCAAAACCTCACAGTCACATACATGCACACACAAGCAATGTTTAAACACTTTGGTAAACAGTCTTTCAAACTTCAAAGTACGGGCCTTACTCAGGCAAAACAGCCACGTGAATGACATGAAATAGCACTTTACAATCCAGTAACAACATCATATCTCACTATTTTGAGTATCATTTGCCTGTTCAGTGTAAATCTGGAGAGGGTTCGGTAAAGTAAAAGGATACATGAAACTGGCATAAGAGGATCAAGTCTTTTGTTACCAAGCAGATGGATAAACTTTGTGGCACAACTTTTTGTTTATTGATGAAAATTACATTGAAAATGTTAAAAGAATACTACATAAACAAACAAAAAACCCAGAAAAGTCAGTTGACACATGCAAAAGTGTTTTAAATTAAAGTTACTACATCTTTGTACTTGCATATGCAGACAGCTTGGCAAGGTTTCAACAGCTGCAGCCACAGCACAAGGCTCCATCACTTGACCCCACAGCACTCAGCTATTTCACATGGACCAGGCAGCAGAGAAGTCAAGCAGAGCCTCACACTTTGACAGCACCTTCACACTTATTTCCAGACAGCAGGGAAGCACAGAGCCTTAAGACCTCTAAAGCTGAGCAATTTCCAGTTTTACCAGCCCTCGCAGTCCAGTAACGCATTGAACACAACTGTCCTCATCTGTTCCTGGCCCACCTGCCTAGCTCTGCTCCTACTTGTAAAATATGCCTGTGTACCCATATTTTAGATACTTCCCTCCTTTCAGTCCCTGTGTACCAGATACTTCTCCTTGTGATGCCACCCTGCAACCACTGCTTCAGTGACCCACTCATCACCAGCATATCTGCTTCCTTCCTCATGCATTCCTTTTCTTCTAACTGTACCAGCTGCCTCCTAATCACTGTCCCGCCACTTACATACACAATTTGCACCAAACTCCTCAGCTCCTCCAACATTTCCAATCTCCTGTGTCTAGTCCTCTCATCCTCTTTGTATTTAAACATTTTTCCTACATTTCCTCTGTGCTGGCCAGTTTCCTTATCTCATCTTTGCCCATGAGACCTCTTTCCCATCAGACTTCTGTTCTCCACTCTCTTCATTGCAATCTCTCTTGCCTCCCCAGCCTAGCCAGGCTATTACCTCCTTTATCTATCCATTCCTCCAGAGAAGCAGCAAGGATGCAGCACACACAAAAATTTGCTTCCACAGAGCTGAACCGTGCAATTACATTTGCATATGCAAATGAGGCTTTCCAAATAGATTTTCTAAACCATGTCCAAATGGACATCAAATACTAACACACCCCATCCCCACCAAATTCAAAGCCATGGTTTGAAAAGGAAAGTTACCAAGAAACACGTGAGAAGGAAATAAAAAGTTCTTCATTTTCCACAGAATCACAGAGCGTTAGGGATTGGAAGGGACCTCAAAAGATCATCCAGTCCAATCCCCCTGCCGGAGCAGGAACACCCAGATGAGGTCACACAGGAAGACGTCCAGGCGGGTTTTGAATGTCTGCAGAGAAGGAGACTCCACAACCTCTCTGGGCAGCCTGGTCCAGTGCTCTGTCACCCTCACTGAGAAAAAGTTTCTTCTCAAATTTAAGTGGAACCTCCTGTGTTCCAGCTTGTGTCCATTGTTTGTGTCCGTTTTTCTCATTTTGCAATGAGAAACTCCATCAGAAGAGGCTGCTCCCAGCTTACCCACAGTGCTCATGTTTCCCAGCTAGAAATATGGCAAACCTATTTGTGGCCATAACATCACAAACATGGTGCACCAATTGTCCTGCTTAAACCACTGCCTCCCAGGACTCTGCAAAGTATCTACGTTTTTATCTTCTCACGCCTCTGTTTCTGTGCATGTTTATAACCTCCTTTAACGTTTTATGAGATTACAGTCTTGGTGTTTGGGTACTCCCAATTATTTCTGATACACCATCATCTTGGTTTATACTGATTTGAAAAGAGATTAAAAATTACACCACATATATCCTCAAAACAATAACCCAAGGATAGATTCTTACACAATATTATCAGAAACCTCATACCATCATTACCTTCTGTCTGTGTAAATAGTCTTCAACACTGCTTACCTGATTATACTGATATCTGATTATATATATATATATCTGCAGTCTGTCCTTGATATTAGCTATTTTGAATATCCTGACCAATTCTAAACAGATTTTAAATGAGTGATAAAAGACAAACATGTTCTTAAAAGTTTCATTAAGACAGGTGACTGAACAGAGCCAAGTTCACAACCAGAGCTTCTAACGTAGTAGGGACACATGGACAAGAAAAGTCTAAATCATGGAAACAGCTTTCATTAGGGTTTATGGTGTCAAATCAGACATCAAAGCTTATACACAACATAAAAATCCATAGGAAACTACTGCTACTGTTCAAATAATTGTATTTGCCATCATGATCATCTCCATCTGAGCTTCAATCAATGTGAATAGTGTAATTTTATGGGTTGCATCCAAATTCCTACTGTTATTAACACTTGTGTTTAAACACATTATCATACATTATTACTTAATGAGCCAACAGGCTACTCCATGAACATAAATCATACCCAGCTGAGAGAACTCTACATTTGGAATAAACTTCTAGTTTTATTTTAATAAGCATTACATGAGTTCACTCATCTCATCAAGGCAAAATCATGTTTGTCACCTTTTAACTTTTCAGAAATATTCCTCTGTTATGCCAGATAATCCTTATCTAACATATCAAATGAGAAACAGCAGCGGAAAATTCAAAACAAACAAATCTCTAATTTCCCACACAGTCGTTCAGTTCTAAGCATTCAAGCGGTTTTAAAAATCACACCACCATTTTAACCACTCTCTGAATTCATGGGCAAAATTCAAGCGCAGAAATGGTTTTGAAATCCAAGTAAAGGCATGGATGCCAAGTTTGTCGATTTTCTATTCTTCTGAGTTTCTCAGAGAATAAGACACATTTTAATATGTTTACTTTTGCCGTTTAACGTCTCAAGTAGTTTTACACAGTTTGCTCAAGATATTTTAAAAAACTTTTAAGGCTGACCTGCGCATGCACTTTCAACTGAACTGAAAGTATCAAGACACAGATTTACTGCATCGGAGTCAAGCCAACTCTTCAGCCCATTCAGAGCTTGGTGAAATGAATACAGAACCACTTAGTGCCATCACTGTCATTAAATGCAATTAATGACCAAGTCCTCCTGTGTATCGTTCGCATTTAAATTCACCTACCTTCACTTGAACTATGTCCAAATCAGACAGTAAGATTTACAAACTCCTCCAGTGGCACTTTCCATGCAGATGGAAAACATACAGTAAGGCTGGAAGAGCAACAAACTCAGGGTGTATCCTCTCCGTACCATGCTTTTAATCAACTCAGTATTTCTGAACTCCTGAATCAACCACCAAAACTGCAAACGATCCATTGTATTAGTTTGCAAGTATATGATCTTGCATATTAAACACCATCCCATTTCTATTACTCTACTCAGTCACCTTGCTCTTTGTGTATATCCTTATCTATTTCGAGAGTAACAATACCTTCTAATTTCTTATCATCAGCAAGTTTCATTACTATAACCCTATTTTTTGCCATTCAATAAGAAAGCTAGGATTCATTCTTCAAGTTAGTTGTCACTACCTTCCACACTAATAGTTTTATCTTTCAGCATGACCTGCTGCACCTCTTCAATCAGTTCCTTATCCCAGCTACAACTTGTTACATTAGAACAGTTTAAGTAATAAATCCCCACTGCTGTATCATATCAAATGCTTCACTAAATAAATAAAAAAATAGATCCACTGTTTTTCCTTTGTCAGAAAAAGGCAAAAATCAATTATCTGACTAAATAGCATTATTAAGTTAGTCTGACATGATACACCACTATATTGCACTTTATCCAATTTTCCACTTAGCTCCAAGTCTACAATTATTCTTTCCTTCAGATATTGTTCTAAGCCTTGCACAGCTCTGAAATCTGACTATCAGGCCTCCGTTCGTTCTGATCATTTTTATCCTTTCTTGAACAGTGTTGCTGTGTTTGCACAATAACTCACCGGACAGATTCACAGAGAGACAAGATTTACCACATGAAACACTCGCTCTTTCAGCTTTCTAGAATGGAAATTATTGCACCCTGTTATTTGCACAAATAGAGCACTTTGACTCTTGCCTTCATTTTGAATTTGGCCATTTCACTGCCATCTCCTCTTTTTCTAACAGTCAGCCACCCCATGGCAAAGGCTGTCTGAAATTTTTTGATCCAAACTGAAAGAATAATTTGTTTTGACCAATTTTTTTCTGCATGGCAGCCCCACTCTTTCTCTGTTTTCAGCTTATTTCTAAACTTAAAGAAATTTTTACTATTAGCTATTTTATACTTCACTCTTGTATTTTCTGAACCACAAAAATAAAGTTTTCTTGGCTGTTTTAAACAATCTCATCCGATTTCTGATAAAACTTTTTGATTGGAAAGACTATACATACAGAGAAAATCTAAACAGAAATTTATTTATTTCACCTATTCCTTTCAAATTACATCTTAAGTATTTATCTGAATAAAAATGGTTATAATTTTTCAAAACCACAGTTCTTTGATGCTTTGCAAAGGGATTGTTATTGGTTGAACTAAAGAAGCCACTATTTCCCTGCTTAAAAATAGCATAAGCCACAGTGATTTTTACTTTATAGCACAATAGAAGCTGATACCCTTCCTAGAAGAGGTCCTATATATTCCTAATCAGTATGAGAACACTGCAGATGATTAACTTGATTAGATTTTCTCTCTCTGAATATTAATAAGATTATTTAGGAACACTACTACATTCATTTGGCAGCATAATCCCTATACGAGACTTTTCTATGTGTAAAGCTCTATATTTAGCATCTATCTATGCCTCCTGTGGACACAAAAGGGAAGGGAAGGTCATAGAAAATTCTGTGACCCTCTGGGAAAGCAGGAATTTGCAGCAAAATTAAAAGGAAAGCTAAAAGCCATATTCACACCAAAGAGCACACACACGCAGTTCCCCACAAAATCCTTTCAGAAATTCCACAGTTTTTATCCTACTGACACCAGAAGTGTGGTCCTCAGACTTCTGGGTACCATTGAGGAACACTGTCAACAAATAC